AATTGAAGTTGGTTCTGGAACAACGCTGCTGTTTCGGAGCCCCTTCACATTCCGGTGACGATAAATACGGGTTAACATCTGGTATCTCAAATAGAGGCTGTCCTCAATAGCCTCGCAGAAAGAATAGGGGCTTCAAAATCGGGGAAGTCCCATCAATATCGGGGAAGTGCCATGATGCCATCAAACTCGGGGAAGTGCCAATAGGCCTGGTGGTCGCCGAACAAGCTTGTGGGGTATGCCCGTTCAGGGGCCAATCCCATCTGCTCTTTCTGGGGAACTTGCATCTCTCGTGCGCCATGTTTCAGCAGAATAAAATCCTTCAGCGCGTCTGAAAGCTTGATTGGACTACGGCAAAAAGGCGATATCACTGCAAACAAGGTCTACGCGTGCAGAGCAGACCCGGCGGGATGGTTACGCTAACGGTAGACCAATACAAGTACTCCGTATAGCATCGGCAATGCAAGCCCCTCATCAGCGAATCGCATCGCAATCAGTAAAACTTGTGGCTGCAGCCGGGTCGGGAAACGATTCTTCCCCGGAGGGAGGTCAATGCTGCTCAGACTGTGCAATTGCGGCGGTGCTGTTCGGGCCAGGCGGGCACGGAGAAGCATTGTGCCGAGGTTGTACTGTTACCTGCTGGTACAACAACACCAAAAGATAAGGTGATGATGGCAGAACTCTAAATAGAATATTACAAATCCCAGATGCATATTTGCTCTATCCAGGATCGCATGACATTATGCACATGTACTGTTTCTTACCACCAACTCTCATAGCTGCAACTACCTAGGAAGGTTTGAAACAATGCACCCAGGGCTCGAAGTATGGTAAAGGGGAAAAGAGGCTACCCACGCGTAGCTAACTACCGGTCAGAGATGCCCTTCCAAAGGGGGAGGAAGGAGAAGCATGATAACTCTATCCTAGAGCTCTGCAACAGCGAGCATACAGCTGCACAAGTGTTTTTAAGATTACAACCCCTGGGCATCCCTGATTTAGCAAAAGTGCACCTGGACGGAGTTAAAGTCCTTCGATGTCATTGTTCCATCATTTACGGTGGTGCTACGAAGATCTAGGCATTCGATTGGAAGAAACCGATGTACAATACGATTGAAACTTGAATGCAGCATTTCGAAAAAGAAGAAAAACCTTTGGCTTCAAGTCTGGTAGATTCTCGATCGTTCCTCGGCTCGGACCAGTTCGGCCCAGCCAGACCAGTCTGGTCAGCCAGGAAATGCAAGTTATGACCCTCAACTGCTTGAGCAATACAAGCCTGGAGTTCCAATATTTCGTTTATCATTCTTATGAATCAATACGTCATTGAAAACCTTTCTATTTGTCTTCGGTTACAACTCTAATGGGGCAGATCACTTTTGCGTCTGAAAAGGGGAGGATTGCACGTGACTTCAGCATATCTTCCCGCGACGTATTTTACGTACATGTGGAGACCAATCGTACTGGCTGGCTATTATTGGTTTCGTCGTAATGCTGAGGTGAGATACTTTCAAGTGTCGCGGACGTCGGGAGAGCCGCAGCAGTAGGCTCGGATTAGTGAGCTTCTTTTATCTAGCGTCCTCATAGATCACTTAGCATTTCAAGTTCTTTTTTCCCTTTTCTCACTCCTAAAAATTGGAGTAGTGGGTTCTTACTCTCAGAATATCAACGATCACCTGTCTACATTTTCCAATATTATTACCAAGATGATTAATCTCGTCGAGATAGACAGTTTAGAGGCTACTATCATTATTGACAACGAGCTCGACGCTCTATCTACAACGCAACCAAACACAGTTATCAATAATGGGCGCTTGCCAAATATTGCTATGTCATCGAAAGCTTTAGTTGAGAATCGTGGAGCGTGCAAGAAAGAGCTTCGCATGGAAGATATCTGCTGTGGAGCACATGGCTTTTCTGTCCTCCTCGTTCGTCGAAATTGACCTCGAACTTTTCTGCAAGCTAACAATTATGATATAGACTGCTATCAAAGGAGATGTCAAGCACACGATGATGTTCGATGCCGGTCCTGAAGGCCAAGCATGGGAAAGAAACGCAACGAGACTGGGTCTAGATCTGGCATCTATCGAAAGAATCCAGCTCTCGCATTGGCATCGCGATCATTCTGGTAAGCTTGCATTCTGGCTCAAAAACACCCCGCACTCATGAATAATATAGGTGGCATGGAGCGAGCAATTGAAATGATCACCAAAGCGAAGAGCCCTGGATCTGAGTCCGTGATCGTTGATCTCCACCCGGATCGCCCGGATTATCGCGGGTTTATGGCAGGGCCGAATCCAGTTTCAATGCAAGCCGATCCGACATTTGCCGAAATCGAAGCAGCGGGGGGCAAAGTTGAGAAGAATGCTGGTGCTCATACGGTGCTTGATGATATGTTCCTTGTCTCGGGCATGATTCCCAGAGCCACTGCTTACGAGAAAGGGGTTCTGAACGGGATTCGATTTGAGACTGAAAAAAGGGCTTGGGTGAAAGATGAAGAAATTGCTGATGAAAGGTTTTTGATGTGTAATCTGAAAGGTAAGTACTTATCTTTGTGTCATGGCTTGATGATCACGTGCTCACGGTTCCGTGAAGGGAAGGGTATCGTGGTGTTCACGGGCTGCAGTCACGGCGGCGTTGTGAATGCCTCGAGGAATGCTATTGAGCTTCTTGGAGGCTCGGTTCACCTGCATGCAGTGATTGGAGGGTATCATTTGGTTGCCGATCAGGAGGCCAATGTTCAGAACACAGTCAGAGATCTCAAGGCTTTGAAGCCAAACGTTCTCCTCCCTGGTCATTGTTCAGGCTGGAGAGTCAAATTCGAAATTGAGAAAGAGATGCCTGGGAAGTTGGTTCCATGTACTGTTGGCAGTAGATACACCTTCTAGTGAGCAAAGCCGGATGAGTTGTTTCAACTCTTCTGGGATAGTGAACCCCATTGTATGAATGAACATGCGATGCATTCATCTTTGATAGTTGAATGCTGTGCAAGGAAAATTGTGCTCAGGTGTTATCTCTGCGATTGATGAATTTTGTAATTATGTTCTGATTATTGTTTTCTACATGGCCTTATGATTCAACAAGTTTTTTTGACCGCTTTAAAACCCCTCCGGAAACTCGGTTGCATGTAATCTTACTTCTCTCTTCTTACACTTATAAATCTATAAGCTCAAATGCTCCTAAGTCTAGACTCCGGCCAGAGACGTGGCCAAGGAATCAATGGAAGTTGTTGGATCTCTCAAATATGCTGTCTATGCTTCCCATATCCTTCTCGGATAAGCCTATCTTTGCAAGCTACCGAGTTCAAAACTACATCTTCAAATACGCGGCATTCACATGCAACATTAGAATCGCCACCATCAGATTTCCGATCTTAATTTCAAGCAATACACGAGAAATATTTACGCTGTAAAGTCTGTCGACTAGAGAATCATCGTACGACAGATTTGCAGATAACCACCACTTTCTCCATAATCACTCCTTTCTGACCAAATGAACTTCAATGAACAAATTTCCTACTAGAGCCAACACGAAACTAGCCAGGAAATAAACACGGCAGAAGTTCTCACCGCCCCTATCCAAAATAACCCAAAACCAACGGCTAACTGCTGACCATCAAGGAAAGAAAGATCGGAACATCCAGTTTGACTGAGATGGCTTTGTGGTCTGTTTTGCCCGACCGCTTCTATAAAGGTTATGTAGATCTAGGATTTATTAGCCACAAAATCCCCCGCCTCACCCAAAAGGATTGATATATGAGGATTGGCGCTATAAAGAAAAGTCTTACCTAGCATGCACCATTGTTCGGATCAATGCGGTAATAGAAGTCTCCATGATTCTGCTCACTTCCATGGTCGCAAGCGTTGATTTCAGTGAGCGCAGCATCGAAAGCGTCATTTTCATTTAGGTTCTGCCAGAAAGCGGAGTTGTTTTCGACAACAATATTGACATGATATTCTGAATCGCCGGCAAAGGTGAAGCACCAAGTCTTTATTTCATCACCAGGCCAGGCACCGGTGGCAATACCCCCAATAAGGTTAGCTAGATTAACGTTGTTGAAAGTAGTACCGGCGAAAAGGTCATCGAATGTAGGTCCATTGGTATAGCAGCCAAGTGAAAACGCAGTAGGAAGTGTAGCCAAAACGCCGAAGGCGAGTCCCATCGTCCGAGCGGTATACATTTCGTTGGGTTGAGGTGAGTTTCAAATAGGCAAGAAGGGTTGAGATTGAGTAACTGAAGATGAAAGCAATCATGTGGGGACTTGCGCGTATATATATATAGCTGCTCAAGAAGAATATAGCAAAGAGATGACCATAGTTATTGATAAGAATAGTAAACGACTAGCCATCCCACAGTATAATCTTATGCGCAGAGATTAAAGCTAATCTTAGCGTTCAGAGTCGCGCTTCCGTAAACGTATAGGGTTTCGCTTTCGCAAACGTACTTGGATGCATTGCCCGTCTATTATCAAACAGCCAGGCGCTCAATAACCCTAGTTCATTCAAAATTAGGGGAGAATTTCTAGAGTCTTGGCCTTTCGTAAACGTATTTAACTCATTGCCAGCCAATTGCTACGCGTTTAAGGAGCCGAAAGCTGGCGACCTCGTCTTGACAACTTAGCAAATTGCCCCTTTTCAACGAAAATCCTTACTACACTTGTAGAAACTCAAATACTACAAAGTTATCTGGTGGTGGCAGTGTTCGAAGCAAAGAAGCATGCTATCCGTTGCGCTGCGGCCAGCTCGCCCTTGCCCGTGCGCCTGAACCGAACTGGATCATCAAACCATATTATCAAATTATTTGACTAAGACCTCGGATTCGCTATAATTTGGCGGTATAGTTGATCACGGAAAGGTCGAGCTGGGCACAGTGCAACGGATACGCAGGTATTTGATGAGTGAATCGTAGAGGATATAATTCCTTGATCTCTACACAATGACAAGCTGCTTTTTGAGAGAATCCTTAGCCGTATAGGGAGATAACAGACGGTGTCTTGCGTCGAATCGAAAGGTGTTATGGCTTAAAGGTAGAGCGCACCCAGGACACAACTTCACCTGGCCACTTTTGGTCTTCTTCGGACCACTAGTCGCGAGAAGTCGGGTGGTTGGGCAACTCGGTGAGATTGCTGGTTCGAATCCAGCCAACTCCAAAAGTGAAATTTAATTATTTTGGTACTTCTCGGAGATTATTTTTGAGTAGACAGTAAAAGTGAGCGAGGATTAATGAATGCGAGGGAAAGGAGTGGAGCTTAGCGAGCCCCTTTTGTTTTAGCGAAAAAACGTGATGCAATTGAGTTAAGGTTGGGACAAGATGCGTCTATATACAATGAAATAACCTAGATGCAATACAAATACCGTTCTCGCAAGATCGAGTTCTTCATAGCCTCGCAGAAATTTGACCAGGCATACACCCTTCCTCAAGAATCCTTTTTCCAATAACCCTCAAATCCGGCTTTCTCAGCTTTCCACTCGCCGTCTTCGGCCACGCCATAAACTCCTCCCTGGCGCCCAACCACCAAACATATTTCGGCTGCTTGAACCTCGCCAGTGTCTGTCTCGTCCAAGCTCTCAGCTCCTCATCACTTGGGACCGGCCCATTCCCACTATACTCCACAAAGGCCGCAATCTGCTCGCCATACCTCTGATCCGGGACGCCGATGACAGCGCACTGTGCCACGGCAGGGTGGGCCATGAGTCGCTCTTCGATCTCGAGAGGCGCGATGTTTTCGCCGCCGCGGATGATCATGTCTTTGATCCGGCCCGTGATGACGAAGTAGCCTTCGGCGTCGATGTACCCCTCGTCCCCGGTATGGAACCACTCTTGCCCATCTTCTGGACTGAGTTTATGCGCTTCTTTTGTCTTTACTTCGTTTTTGTAGTATTCGCGTTGGACGCCATATCCACGGAGCACAATCTCGCCTTTCTCGCCCCAGGGCATGATTAGATTCGTTGCTGGATCTATAATTTTGGCGGAGAAACCAGGAAATAGGCGGCCGGAAGTAAGACATCGCTTCTCGATCGTGTCTGTATCTCGCGTCATGGTGCAGATAGATGCTGATTCGGTGAGACCCCAATTGGTATGTGTTTGCGTGATCCCAAATGCCGCCCAGATCTTCCGGATCAGGGTTTCCGGGACTGCCGAGCCAGCAACGATGGCGAAACGCAGAGAAGACATGTCGTAAGTTTGAAAGCGGGGATAGCTCATTTCGGCGACAAACATGGTTGTCACGCCGTAGATTCCTGTGCAGCGGTTCTTGGTGACGGAGGCGAGGGTTGCCTCAACGTTGAAGACGGTCTCCGGGAGCACGATTGAGGCGCCGTGAGCGCTGACTACAGCGAGGCCGATGATGAGTCCGAAGCTGTGGAAGAGGGGAACTGGTGTACATATTCGGTCGGAGGCTTTGAGATACATTGTGTCGCCAATGAAACGACCTGCGTTGTAGATTCCTCGATGGGTCAAGGCTGATGCCTTGGGGTGTCCTGTTGATCCACTTGTGAACTGGAGATTGAGAATATCGTTTGGATCTAGGGTGCTCTCGATTGCGTCGAGGTCTAGTTGGTACGATTCTCCTGTAGCAACAACGTCTTCGTAATGAAGACAATGAGAAGAATGTCGATCTTCCCCATCGACCATGATAATATGCTCAAGGCCCTTAATGTTCTTCCTCAAATGTGGTATCCAGGGATCGTAGTCGTATCGATCGAACCCTGAGACCATGACCAGAACGCTGCTCCCACATGAGGAGAGGACAGAGTGAAACTCCTGTTCGCTGTAGCCATAATTCGCCAACGTGATCAGTGCACCTAGTTTTGCACACGCATAGAATAGCTCGACGTATTCCGCCATATTTCCCATCATGATTGCTACGCGGTCACCCTTCTTGACTCCTAGGGCGGCTAGACCTCGCGCGAGATGGTCGCTCCTTCTGTCGGCTTCTGCATATGTCAAGGTGCGATTTTGGTGATCGGAAATGACGAGGGGTGAGGAGCCTCGAGTTTTTGCTTGTTCGCGGAGAAGAGCCCCAAATGTTTTGTCGATTATTTGGGGATGAGAGGGGCCGTGGACGAGAGATCCTCCATGAGCTGCTGCACAATTCATGGCTATGATGGCCTCTCTGGAGGGGGAGAGGTGTGCCATTGTTGGTAGAGCTTCGGTACAATGCCAAAGCTGTGGTTCAGAGAAAGGGAATGTTGCTGGCACTAACAGAAAACAAAAATATAGCTGACATGAAAACAGAAGAGATAGAACAAAATAATTGAACAATGTGCAGAGAAGGATAAAGAGGAATGCCTTTCGACTGAAAATCACGACTCGTTTTTCGGGTCACTTCACCCTGCCTCGAGGGGGAACTACCCCACTGCTATCAGAAGCATGTCTCGGAACAATCATGTTGACTAAAGCTACAGTTGATCGGCTATCGCGAGGCGTTAGAATCTGCAGACTTGCTTCTGCCGGTCTGTGGTGTTGGAGGTGAAGAGGATGCGTCGACGCGACACGCACGCGACACCCGAGACCCGAGGACGCCACCATCCCACTTCTCCAGTCTCCAACTCCACAACTCCGCATCTCCAGGACCGACTCATGTCAGCTTCATCCTGGCACATCGAGGCGATGAGTTTGGCAAGGTCAAGTCAGCTTCGGCTGATCATGTCGCGCTCTAGGATTGCAATAGTTGACGCGATGAAGATGGCGAGGTGGGCTGGCTGCCCAGGGTTGGGGGCTCTCGCACTCTCTCCACATTCTCAAACGCCTGTCTGAGGTAATACACCCTCGAAACTTTTGAGAAATTTCCATCCTGGACAAAGAAACCATGAAGTTGGGAAGCAAGATTTGCGTTGTGACCGGAGGGTGAGAAGCTTCAGATGAAACCAGATCGTATCTTTACTGATTTGTCCCAGCCTGTCGGGCCTTGGTCTTGCGACGACACAGACACTGGCAAAGTTAGGAGCTCATGTTGCCATTTTAGATCTCAATGACTCTCAAGGAATCGCTCAGCAAATGGGTTCCCAAGTCCGATTCTTCAAGGTTGATGTATCGAAGACTGAGCAAATCGAGTCGGCAGTGAAAGGAATCCTGAGCTGGGCCAAGGAGATCAGAGAGGATGTTGCAGCTATTGTATGCTGTGCCGGAATCCTTGGACCAGCAAAGGTAGGCTCGAGACTTGCAAACTCATGGAAAGCAAGAGGCTGATTGAAGCTAGATCTTGGGGAGACAGAATGTCCCGTTCTCCATCGAAACATTCCAAAAAGTGATTGCTGTGAACCTCGTTGGGACAGTCGATGTCATCCGACAACTTCTCCCGCACATGGCAACCCAACCTCCAGGTCATGATGGAGAACGCGGCGTCATTATCACAGTTGCATCAGCAGCAGCCTTCGACGGCCAGCCAGGGCAAGTTGCGTATTCTGCTACGAAGGGAGCAATCGCATCAATGACACTTCCACTTGCCCGGGATCTTGCACAGCATGGTATCAGAGCTGTATCAATATCACCTGGTATGTTCGAGACGAGTATGACTACAAACATGCCGAAGAAGGCGAAGGAGAGTCTTCAGCGTGTTCTGGAGTTTCCGAACAGACCGGGACGACCGGACGAGTTTGCCGAATTGGTTGTACACTCGATATCGAATTCAATGTTGAATGGGACGGTTGTTAGAATTGATGGAGCTACGAGGATGCCAAGTCGGCTGTAGAAGAGTCTCTTCGTTTTCTTCACATCTCTCTGTAATCAACAAAAATGTGTTGGACCTCGAAAATTACATATCGCTTGCTTTTTTCCTCAGTTCTCCCCACCTGCAGTCCTTTCCTCAAGTTAGTAATGAGACTATGAGACAAGGATCTCACTCTAATTTTGAGCTCCACATTCTGCGGGTAGTACACCGTGCATGCCAAGCGTGCTGCAGAAGATGACTTTTCGCATCTATCGGATGTTGGCTCGGGTCTCGCGAAAGGCATACCCCTCATAGTCCCTGCATGAGACTACACCCCCGCCACAAGACTCAACCCACGTTGATACTAGTCCAGGTGGGGCATCAATGTTATATTTTTTTGAGACCAGTAGTAGTTCCTGCTCTTTATATTCTTTTTTAGAAAGTTCAAGTAAACCTAAGAAGAATTATTATCTCCTCCAAACGGTTTATTCAAACCATTGTCTCGTCACGATGTCAACGCCAACCTTCGTCGCAGGCGTGGGCATGACGCCTTTCCGTTCACCCAAGAAATCGGCCAGTCAAGCCCAAAACCCAGCCTCGGATTACTTCGACCTAGCCGTCGAAGCCGCCGTCAAGGCTCTGCTTGACGCCGGGCTCACCTACGATGACGTTGACCAAGGGGTGGGCTGCTACGTCTTTGGCGACTCAACCTGCGCCCAACGAGTTTTCTACTCTCTCGGCATGACCGGAATCCCCATTTGCAACGTTAACAACTACTGTTCCTCTGGGTCCACGGGCATCTACCTCGCCAACCAAGCCATCAAAGCTGGGCAAGCAAACTGTGTGCTCGTTATTGGGTTCGATAAGATGTATCCTGGTGCCCTGCCGCAGATTTTCAATGATCGGACGAATCCGCTTAGTAGGATTTTGGATTTGAGTGGCACGTTGATTCCCGAGGCGGATAGGGGGAAGAAGAGCCCTGGGTGGACGCCGCAGTTGTATGCTAACGCGCAGGCGGAGTATCTTGAGCGGTATGGCGCGGCTGGGGCGAGGAATGAGCATTTTGCGAAGATCACTTCTATCAATCGGTCCCATGGGGTCAATAATCCGTATAGCCAGTTGGCGAAAGAGGTTTCTGTCAATGATGTACTTCAAAGTCCTTCTGTGACGGGAACCATTACAAGATTGCAGTGTTGTCCTTCATCTGTAAGTCTGAACCCTTAAAGAGAGTTGTGGCTAACGAATTGGCAAGACCGGAGCAGCAGCAGCAATCATCTGCTCTGCCCAATTCCTCAAATCCCACCCACACCTACACAACTCCGCCATCCAAATCGCTGGGCAGGCCCTCGCGACCGACACGCCAGTTCTCTACGAACCTCCCAGCGCAATCGAGCTCATCGGCTCCAACATGACACGCCTCGCAGCCAAATCAGCTTTCCAACAAGCAAAGATTACTCCAAAGGATGTCTCGATAGTCGAGTTGCATGATTGCTTTACGA